TACATAGAAGAACATTTCTTTTTCATCCGACATTTTAGAATATCCAAACGTAATAATCGATTACGTGCCAATGTGCAAGACAGCTGCATCCAAAAATCTCCGCCAAATTATCTAACTCATTGAAGAAGATTATCAGGTCGATAATTGTTCGAGCAAAATTCCATAAATTTGCGGTAATAAACACACGCTGGGCATGCTTTCCATCTCTTTCAATATGAAAACGATGTGGAAATGCTTGCTTTCACAATGAAATTGAGCTTTTTTCCAGCCATTCGAAAAAGCAACAATTTAAAATGCTGGTATATGTAAGAGCATATTATTGTGAGAAATTTCATCGATTCTCAATTGAAATTGGAGATTTACACGAATCGACGAGCACATCACATATCGATATTTCAAGGCGCATATGTGTATACACAAACATCAAACACTGAATGTAATGATGCGCAACACAAAAGCTTTTGTTGTATCGTGCATTGTTTGCATTCGATCGATCGGCCGGCGTTTATTTTTCTTCATATCGATGCAAAAGTATGTTTTCTCTTGACCATACATTGTAAGTATCCGCATCAAAACACGGGACATCACACAATTTATTATTGTTTTTAATTAATTACATATATTTTTTAGATTGACACTTCGCTTATAACAAAAGAAACCGAATGCTCTATTCTATTTTCATTCTAAAGTGGTTTCTTTTTTTCCTGTGTATCGGTTCAACAAAAGTGGAAGGGCTCACAGAATGTCTTTTGGGTCAAAGATCAGAAGTGGTCGATTCCATTCTTTAAATACAAAAGACTCAAACGTTGAACGGATTTTCATTACAAAATGAACTGGCTTTTAGTGTCAAACGAATTGGGAACGTTCTTTTTGTCAGTTATTGAAGAGAAATGTTGACATCCGACTTTTCATCTCTTAGCTTTTGTGGATTTTTCATTTTACGCTAGCGCCAGTCACTGGAATCCAGATGCAGCATTAACAAAACGTATGATACATTTTGCTAGGGTAAATAATCTAGTTGCGAATGGACAAAGTCTATTAACATTGGTTACCTCAATAAAAAGGCATAATAATTCACATAATTCGCAACGTTTTGATCGAGATCCGATCTCCTAGACGTTTTTTTTATCTCACTACCTTAGCATGGCCGAATTGAAGGGAGTTAAATTCAAAATTTTCTGAAAAACATAGCAGCTCAAAAACTTTCTTCAGAAATGTCTTCATTTTGAATTTCCAAAGTAGTTTCTTCGAACCTCTTTTGATTCATATGTTCGGCATGTAATCAAAAAGGTCTCATTTTTTATTGTAAAAATTTACTTCGTTGTAACAGAATAGTAATATCGGTCAAGGAAAAATGATAAGATCCAGTTTGATCGAAAACTTGTTTCCATTACGAAATATTGCTAGATCTTATTTTAACATAAAAATGCATTCTGCACCGAGAATAGGTGCATAATATACCAATTATTGTGCTTGCAAAACGTGCTCAAATTTTCAAAAATTTCAATCAGGTGATTTCGCATTTTTATTGAAGATTGAGCTTAAAAATATGCAGTACAATTCACAGGCACACCTACACCATCTAAAATAGAGTTACACTCTCAATCAAGCGTCAACAACAAAAAAATAGAACAATGGATAAAAAATCAATTTTATTCATTGTGAGAATTCGACATTCGTCGTCTCTAAAAAATAGAGGTAATTTTTTTTTTTTTTTTTTTTTTTTTTTCAAATAACAGTGGGATGAATTAAGCGAAAATTCTATAGCGTAAACTGACGAATTAGCTCATTAAAATCGTGCACATTTTGCACATTTTTTCTGTTATTGAGTGTGACAAATTTTTTATTTTGTTTTCGTTTTCTCTCTACCACGTTCGCTCTCCCCTTTGGAAACTATGCGATGCTGTGTTGGTTAGGGTTAGCTTCGATAAATGATTTGTCTACATGTCGAAAATTTAATGGTTCTAAATTTTTTGTAACTCTTCGTCTATTTTCTCCGAACATTTTTGTTGCTATTGTTACAGGGATGCTGTAATAAACTCACTTTGAAACATGTCACAAAATAGATTGATTAATTAGATTCGGAGACAGTGGATCGAATGTTCGTCAGAGGAAAAAAAAATATTTCTCACCAACATATTTGAGTGATAGTTTACACAAGCATAGTTAGAAATTAAAAAAAAAAGTCAACCAAACCAAAAAAAAACCCTCGTTACATCAAACGATGACGACAACAGCGACAACAACAATCAGAGAAGAAGAGAAAAACATTTTTTTTACATTTAGATAGACGAACATATTTTCAGCGATGAACGATTGAACAGTGGTGCACGAACAGCCAAACGAACAGCAATCGAAGAGAGTAAATAAAATTCGATGGCCGCCCTTATATGTGTCACATCAGGCGAATGCACCACAATAAAAAAAAAAACGCGCGTGCAAAAGAGGAAAATGGTAAGCGAACAACATTGGCCACAAAGTTCGTCGTTTACATTCATTGGTATGCCATTGGCAAAGCACATTTGGGGTTTTTTCATCATCGATTTAATGCCAGAGCATTGATCAAAATGATAACAATAAACATTGGAAACGGAGCAAAATAGCCGAACTTTACATACGACAAATGTTGAAGGCCCCGTTTTTCTGCTGACTCATGCAATTGAAATAGTCTCGCAGGCCCTTTTATGCCTAAATATGTTATTATATATAGTATTTCGATGTATATATATATATATATTTCGAATTTATTTTTTGAACTCTCACTTCTTCACGATTTTAAATGGTATATCATTTTATCCAACCAAAAAACTAGTGATATTATTTTGATTGAGCTTCACGGCTAGAGGAAGAAAGAGAGCGGCAACCAATATGTGCAAGCACGCAATTGTCAAATATTCGTGATGAATTATTTAGAGAATTTCTCGTTGCGCTAGAAAACATCATGCATCATGTAACATGATTCATGTTTATTTATTAAACTTATGCGCTTATTCGCTGTAAAACCGCACGATTTTGCTTTTGCAATGGCCAATATATTTTTGGTTTTCGATTTAATATTTTCTCTATCTCTCCATTTCTTTTTCTGTTTTCATTGAGTTGCGCCCATAAAGATGATCTCCTGCTTTGAAATACTGGGCGAATTTATAGAAAACACGTGTACTAGCTGCTGTTGACGGCCGTATATGTGTATGTGTGTGCTGTGCAAGCAAAAGCGTGAAAAAAATAGACCAGCATACAAACATTCGTCACGTTTGACCATTTTTCACCTGCATCTCTATATGAATATGAATCGTTCATGTTCGTATTTTTCATTCACTTGCCAAATAAATTTCACATGATTGCAAATGAAATGTATCACGTAGATTTTTGTCAAATGGCCATCATTGAAATAGAAAAAGAAATCAGAAACAATTAGAAGGCATGTGTGAAGAAATGATTATTAGCGAACTGTTTATGGCATTCGGAATAATTATGAATTGAAATGTATGCTGGACAGTTGGAATGACATTTTGATTCCATCTTGGCCACAATACATCATCATAACAACACAGCAACAACGAAATATCTGATTAAAAGTTATCAATAAATGAAACGCAATCAACAGTTCATTGTTTATAATTTCCATATACTTTGTATTCAGTATTCAACGGCGAAATGTTTTACTATTGAAATTGTGTGACATTAAAATGCAGACGAACTTTCAATGAATTTGACGAGGTAGAAATATGCGAGGTGTGCACTCAGTGACAACGCCAAAAATGGCAATAGTGTAGAGGCACAGATGAAAAATCACGATTCGTGCACCAATAACTTCAAATGCAGCAGCGTTACACGTTTAGAATTGCAAATTTTCACATTTATTTGGTAAAAAAAACCAACCTAAAAAAACTGGATAGTTTAATGCTGTGAGTTGACTGCAATTGGTAGGGATAGATAGAATTTATTCGATTTCAATGAAAAGATATAAAAAAAATTAGCGGCATACACGGAAGGGAAAATTGGTTAAAACTACACCCATTTTTATATTTAATGGTATTCGACCATGGGGTCAATCACGAAATTCTAGTGCGTCTAGTTTTTGATAAAATTTCACTAGAAAACTAGAAAATTCTAGTGCGTGATGTTGTCTCTCAGTAGTTTTTCATATAAATTATATGGCCTTCGGTGTGAAGTTGGCTTCGTTTGTGACGTCATTCTTCGCACTAGATTTACTAGTTTTTCTAGTATTCACTAGCGTGATTCGCCCCATGTATTCGACTTTTTTTTAAGAACTTCAGATATCATTTAATGATGGTTCGTTTCAAATTCCTGATTTTTTGTTTCAATTTTCGCATTGCATGTAAATTAAATTTTCATTTTGTGAATTTTATTTTCTTGTTTTGGTCATTTTCGGTTATTTTTTGCATCGATCCAAAATTAGGCCAACTAAAATTATCCTATAAAAAAATAATATGTTTACTAATTTTCTATGATGAAAATGAAGAAGTGCAGTTAAAATATGAAAATTATCGAATTCTCTCTCTCTCTCTCTCTCTCTCTCTCTCTCTCTTAAATATGTCGAAAAGAGCAAACTGAGAAAAGATGCATGCATGTCTATCAAATGTGTAGACATTTTACTACATCTAAATAGATTTGTGTTCGAAATCGATTGAAGCTGCATCAATAGTCGGTTATGCAATAGCACAAATGGAAAATGATTATTATTATTATTTTCTCATCATGTACACTGTTTTGCATGATTTTGCATCTTAAAATGGAAGCAATCTACATTGATGTGTAATATTCAATATCAATTTACCGAAATGTTTTACATTTTAAGAGGTTGGAATTTACAAAGTGGATGTTATATCATTCAAATATGAAACTCAGAATGCAAATAAACAATATGAATGAAAAACATTCCATGCGGCCAAAAAACCGAGTTACCTTTAGTATGATGTGAATATTTGAAATGTAATCCAATTAGGAAATGAATCAAATTAACAATTAATCAAACTTACCGATCATATTCTCTGTTATCCTCATCGCATCGGGCATCTTGTAGTTCGCGCCAACTTTTTCCATGACGACACGTTGTTACCAGTATTAAATCGCGAGCATTGTGCAGATGAAACAATGAATTTCGTGTCTCGGAGCCGATTCCGTGCACGTAACTGCATTTAGGAACATTCACAACGCACAAAATCCCGAAGATAATGTAAAGAAGAAATGAGAAGAAGATGAAAAAAAACACCAGAAAAAAAGTTTTGAGTAAATTATACTAATCAAATTTGTTAAGAAAAAAATGCTATCAAATAATTTTTTTAATTTTTTTTCCAAACCGGTTAGGGTTTCCTTTATATCGGTCGAATGAGAAAGGATAACGATTGCTTTTTCGACCGAAGTATATATACACTCACACGCTCAAGCTCATTCACTCTCTTTTTTCGCTTCATGTAGCAACTTCGATAACGAAATGGGAACGAACAAAATAAATAACAATAGCTGCAGATAATTTTCAGACAGCCATGACAGGTAAGCATTGAATTTCACATAAAAGGCGATGAAGTAAATGCATATTCGACTTCATTTCGCTTTGCCTTCATTCACTTGGTCTCTGTCTCTGTATTTTCGCTTTGGGCTGTTTTCGTATGTATGAATAATGGCTGCATGAATGGAGCTTAATAGCTAACTCAGACTGATAACAGTGAATCATTTAGCAGCGAGTTCGAATTTATCTTGTTGCATTGCATAAATCCACACACTCGCACTCTCACTCTTATTATGTCATTCGATATAAAAAAAGGAACCTCATGTACACAATACACATACACAGACACACTGCACACACATATAATTATATTGGTCACAACGAACAGAGAGATTATTCAGAAGGAATATTGCAATAAAACAATTCGATTGGGATTCATTGAACATTTCATTTCTAGTTTGCAACGCCATGAATGCGTATTGCATTATAGCTAAGGCATATAAGAAGCAATGATAAACGAAAGCTTTCATTGTGTCCAATCACACAGTATAAGACTGTGTCGAATGATAGCATTCAGCAAATGCAACTACCATTTTACAAAAGTAGATTAAAATGCTTGAATGTGAAATTGTGCCATTTCGATTATATCACACACATTGAATGAAACGATATATAAACGACCCCCTCTTGACCCGCTATTAATGTGTGGTGTAGGTGTTTGTGATTGTGACTTTCACTTATTCTCACTCTCTTGTATTTTCGAGGGTTGTTCGTATATATCTGAGTTAATTTTCTGTTTTTATTTGCTTGTAACAGTTCGGTTTCGTTTTCGCACACTTTTTATTGTTAGCACTGTGCATCTGTACACATAAAGAATAACCCATTATTACCTCTTAACTCGGTCACATTCAATTTTCCATACTCAATGAAATCACACTGTTCCTTTGTCTCACACAAATGCTAAGCGCACAAAAAAATTTGTTTTCTCTACATAAATTTAGCAGTTGTGACACAGCACATGATTCTATCTTTCTTTCGCTCTCTCTGCTTCTCAATCAGTTCAAATTATCCTCAAAAATGCATCAAAATGAACGATTTTCCACATTACACGAAACAGATGGCATCATATTAAACATTAACATGAAATTCGTTGATCCCGGATGATCGCATTCGATTCCGAATTGATTTCATATTTTACGTGACTTTTGGAACAAAATAGTTTCACTCACACGCGCTTGCACAACAAAAAGTAATTATTACCAAATCATCGAAGCTGAATGATTTTCGAAGCTTCGAAAGCTTTTACATTAACTTTGCGTTTTTCATCAATCTGAAATTTTCATAATGAGAAGTTGTTCAGTCGTAATATTTTTCATCGTTAAAAAGTTGAAACGACATCAGCGAAATGCTTTCAATTGAAATGAATGCCATTTTTTTTGTTTCTCAACCAAAATTCAAGGAAATTAAGATGGGAAAAATAAACCGAATACGAATTCTGTTTGCCGAATGATAGAGATCATATAATAGGCGAAACATGCATTCATGCGAACCGATTGAGTATTCATTATGAAGGAAAAAGATTCAATTCAGAATAGTTTTCCATTGTCCGAAATATCGTTCGCGCCGCACATACATATATACACACTTTCTCTTTTCGTCATTGTTTTCGCTCCTTTCCTGTTGCTCAGTTGATGTGCTCATTTTTTTTTGTGGGCGTACATACGTCAGCTGGAGCACATCGAACAAGAACTTAAATGCTGTAATGATAAACTTAAACATCTGGTGGCGTGTAAATGCGACACTATTCATCTGTTGAAACATCACGAATATTGGGTGTGTGTGTGTTAATTTCGTGGTGGCAAAGCATCAAGCAATATTGAATGCGACGAAGCGAGAATTTGAATGCCAAAAATAAAATGAAATACCAAGTTTCGAAAATTCGAATGTCGTGCACGATAATGCATTCACATTCACTGTGGCAAAATTGAAATTGTGAACGCAAACACGCACACACAACAAAAAGGGTGTAAATGGAGCGAACGAGAGCGAGAGAGAGAAAGAGAGGGAGTAAGCGACTAAATGCGTGGCACACAAAATTTTAACAACATCTTTCAAAATTGGAATTTTTTCGTGGTTGATTTTCCAATATCGAATTGATCTGTGAACGATGATGTTAGATGGAAATCCGAATTCATTTCATTTTGTGATTTAGTTCAGTTGATAAATTGCATCAAACCACCAAAGCATTTGAAAATGGAATTAATGTAAACGCCCTCCGAAACTTTTGTGCACTTCCGTATGCGTTTGTCGCATGCAAAGCGAAAACTGAATTCGTTTTGTTGTTTGCTCTTCGAAATGAGAAGAATAGAGATAGATAGAGAGAGAACGGGTTGAGAGAGATATAGTGACAAAATCAAAGTAGTTTCCGATGTTTCATCATGACATTATTGTGTTGTTGGTTTTTACTGTTGCTGATGTTTCTTTTTTCTCTATGAAGCTATTCTGTGCTCATAAAGGAGGAGAAAATCTCGACACCATCGCTCAAAACAGTGAAGCGGTTATTTTTTTTTTTACTTTGTTTCGAAAATGTTCTCTGAATAAATGTGCGTGGATAAAACTTCATTATTTCCATGTAAAGTTTTGTTCAACGTAATGTGGCAAGTGCCATTGCATTCTCTTTTAAAAAGTAAAAGTTTAAGTGCGACGAAACCACGCGATTAAAGGAAAACAAGGAAATTCAATTCATTGGTACCAACCACAAATTTGTTGCACGTCCTTTATTATCATTATTTTTCTGTCTCTCTCTATGTAACTTTAAATTTATCTATTGCATTTTTTTTATATGTCCATTTGGTTTTTGTGTTTAACCACATCTGAATTCTGAATCATTCACTTCACTTTCCATATTGTCCATACTATTTACTATCTCGGCCTTTCAGTCTCTATATGTATGCCAAATAGGTAGTAACTCAATTAAGTTGATTTTATTTATATTTTTTGTTTGGTTCAGTTACTGTATTTGTTCACTGTGTTCTTCTTTTTTGCACCATCCATTATCGTACACTCAACCAAATAAATGCAAGCACAAGGAAACGTGAAGTGTTCGAACGTTCAATTCAAATATTGCTCAATGTCACAAATGATTTTGGATAGAAAAAATGCATTTAAAAGCCAAACTATTTTCAAGTCGAAACCATACATCAGTTTTAAATGGTATACCAATAGCGATATTGGATTATAAAAGTGGCATTCGTTCTTCTAACGATTAACGATTTTGTTTGTTGTTGGCGACTTTGTTTTAGCGATCATTATCGGTGAGGCTGAAATTGAGCGAGTAATTTTGTTATAAAAACAAAATCATTTCCTCATCAATAAACCGTTCCATCCTCGTTCATTTATGTCAAACTCATTGTTCGCTCTCAATAAGTCACGTTACCTCATTTTCTACTGTTATTTTTCTTACTTTTCTAACTACCCTTATCTTTCACTGTATTTCAAGAGAACAAATGATATGAACACACGAAAAAAAATGCACTTTCTTCTATTTCAACCTTCGTTTGTGTCGGTTGGCAATGGTTTTGTGGTTTTTCGTTTTAAATAAATATTTGGTCCAACATAAATAGATTTTTCCCAACATTTTCTTTCACAAATAATTCACAGAGTTTTTCAGTCAGTAAACATTTAAAACATTGTGAGTTTTCCAGCGACAATGGAATGAGATGGCGCTGTGGAAGAAAAAGTGTGTAACATCACCACATTTTGAACTAGATATTTTGAACATTTTCAAGACACAGCCGCATCGAAAAAATATATTGAGTGGAAAAAAAAACTTGTGGATGGTGCTTTTTCAAAACGAAACAATTTGGCTATTAAAACAGTTCGTGGAACTTAACACTGGTGCGGAAGCGAACAATATACAGACAAATATACCGAAACAAAGCAAAACTCACGACGAAACTCAAAGTTGAAAATTGAAAATGGAGTTTTTAGACTTTTTTCATTGTATTGCTTCAACAACAAAAAAACTTCCGAAATTGTTGAAAGAAAAAAAAACATCAATAACAAAAAATTAGTTTTAATTATTGTTGAACAAGACTAGATTAAAAGCAATATTTAGATCACTCTAACACACTCTTTATTGTACTCGAAGTCATTATTAGAATTAAAGCAGCTTCCGTACAAAATACAGAAATTCAATTTGAATAATGATCGATTTAAATTACTCGATATGATTGTGATCATGATGATGAATATTATAATTAAATCGCTTATCCAGAAATTTGGTTCTGAATGTGTAAAATTCAATTTAAGATCATGGGATGAGATCAAAAATTCCTTTAATTGTGCTTAAAATTGATTGATTCTATTCAGATCGTCTTACGTGTTGTTGTTATTATTAGTATTATTAATGTCAGTAGCTTTGGTTGGTTGCCTGGATTGGTCCGAGCATAGATTATTACAAATTACAGTGACATGTACATTGCAAATAAAGCCGAGTTGGGTTCACTTTGAAGACAACTAGCTTACGTAATCGAAACGATACAAGTCAAGTGTGTGCACTACATGCGTGTTTGTTTTCTCATCACATTACACATATCAAACGAAATAATCTACATTCAACAGCAAACAGAGGGAGACAAACGACCGTCTAGGATGACATTCACCCTTAATTGCGTAATGTAT